AAGAGAAAAAGGAAAAGCAGGTGTGAAGACCCTGAAGTAGGAAGGAACTGGGGACATTATTAGTAACTCAATAAATATTCGTTGCAAGAATGAATGAATGAACACTGGAGGTCAGTGTGGGAGGAATGTGGTGTACATGTCAGAGAACAGTTTGAGACAAGGCTCCAGAGAGAAGAGGGGCCAGATCATGTGGGGCTTACTAACCTTTCAAACCTACAAGCTATAACTATTGCTTGTTATTTACTTGGGTATATAGTCTGAATTCTTTTATGAAGATGTTAGTATACTAAATATTATAGAAAAAAACCTATTGTGTTGGTTAAAAAATGAGAAACATAAATTATGTTTTTAAATTTTTTCTGGTTTTTTGTTGTTGTTTTTTTTTTTACTTACAGCCAAAAAAATAAGCAAAATCCAGAAATGTAAAGATTTCTTTGAGACCTAAAAAGTTTCATCTGTGTATGTTCATGGGCACCAGGTCTGCTAGGTGAGCTCTTTTCAATGACAGTAGTAGAGGAATATTTCCTTACTTCTCTCACAGCATCTATTAGAGAAGAAGAGAAAACATTACTTTTAACAATATAAAATTAACCTTTGCCGGTGTGACTCAGTTGGTTGAGTATCATCCCATGCACTGACAGATCACTAGTGCGATTCCCAGTCAGGACACATGCCTGGGTTGCAGGCTCCATCCCCAGTAGGAGGCATGTAGGAGGCTGCCATCAATCTATGTTTCTCTCCCTCTCCCATCCTCTCTCTCTCTCTCTCTCTCTCTCTCTCTCTCTCTCTCTCTCAAAAAACAAACAAAAAAAATCAATGAAACATATTTAAAAAAATAAAGGAATATAAAATTATAAAAAAATAGGAAGCAGTTTTAGAATAACTAACCTAACTTCTAAATGATGGACTTCAGGTAGGGCTGTTTTTTCTTTTTCTCTACATACTTGGGAGGGTACCATGCTCAAAACAGATGATCTGTATGTGGATACTAGTGGTAATTCTTGAATGTAACAGCATTTTTATTTTTTACTATTCATCTAGGACTCATCATCATTGTACCATCTCTCATCTCTAGCTACACTGAAAACTATTATCCTTTATTCTTTCTATACCTAATGGTTCACTAAATTTTAATCTATTGACAATAACATATAGGTCATATCCCACTACAATCAATTCTGCGACTATCCTACTTCTCTTACTGTACTAGCATTTTATGATGTCATTTTGTTAATGGTTTCCTTTGCTGTGCAGAAGCTTTTTAGTTTCATGTAGTCCCACTTGTTGATTTTCGCTTTTGTTGCCTTTGCTCTTGGCGTCAAATCCAAAAAACCACTGCCAAGACACTTACTACCTATGCTTTCTTCTAGGACTTTTATGGTCTCAGGTCTTAAGTTCAAGTCTTTAATACATTTTGAGTTAATTTTTAAAATTTTATTTTTCAATTACAGGTTACATTTAATATGATTTTGTATTAGTTTCAGGTGTACATTAAAATAATTTTCATATGGTGTAAGAGAATGTTCCAGTTTTCCCAACATCATTTATTAAGAGACTGGCCTCTCCCCATTGCATATTCTTGGCTCTTTTGTTGTAAATTAATTGAACATATATGTGTGGGTTTATTTTGGGGCTCTCTGTTCTGTTCCATTGATCTATGTGTCTGTTTTTATGCTAATACCATAATGTCTTGATTATTACTATAGCTTGGTAATATAGTTCGAAATCAGGGAGCATAATACTTTTTTATTTTTTATTTATTTGAGAGAGAAAGAGAGAGAGAAAGAAACATTGACTTGTTATTCCACTTATTTATGCATTCTTGTATATGTCCTGACCAGGGATGGAACTTGCAACCTTGGCATACCGGGATGATGGTTTAACCAACTGAACTATCCAGCCTGGGCCATGATGGCTCCAGCTTTGTTCTTTCTCAAGACTGGTTTGGCTATTTGGGTTCTTTTGTGGTTCCATACAAATTTTAGCATTGTTTGTCCTATTTCTGTAAAAAATGCCATTGGGATTTTGATATTGTATTGAATCTGAAAATTACCTTGGGTAGTATGAACATTTAATAATATTAATTTTACAACCTATGAGCATGGAATCTTTTCATTTATTTATTCAATTTTTTTCATCAATGTTTTATAGTTTCCAGTGTACAGGTCTTCCACCTTTTTGGTTAAATTTATTCCATGGTATTTTCTCTTTGATGCAATTATAAATGAGTTGTTTTTTTCTTTGTCCTCACCCAAAGATATTTTTTCCCCCATTGATTTCAGAGAGAATGGAAGGGAGGAAGGCAGAGGGGGAAGGGAAGAAGGAAATAAGAGAAAGAGACAGAGAGAAACATCAATTGGCTGCCTTATGCAACCAGGTACATTCCCTGACCAGGAATCAAACCCGAGACCTTCTAGTGCATGGGATGAGGCTCTAACCCACTGAGTCACACCAGCTTGGCATAAATGAGGTTTCCTTAATTTCTCTGATAGTTTGTTATTAGTGCATACAAATGTAAATTTCTGCATAATGATGTTGTTTCTGGCAATTTTACTGAATTCATTTTTAGTTCCAACAGTTTTTGTGTGTGAAGTCATCAGGGTGTTTTCTTTTTATGTTTAACATTTCTTTTTTAATATGTTTTTATTGATTTTTAGAGAGAGAGGGACAGGGAGAGATATAAATATCAACGAGAGAGAAACATCAATGTGCTGCTTCCTACATGTCTTTATTGGGGATAGAGCCTGAAACCCTGGCATGTGCTCTGACCGGGAATCAAACCATGACATCCTTGTTCATGGGTCAACCACGGAGCTGTATCAGCCAGGAAGGGGTAGCTTTGTTATAACTTCCTGTAATTCTATGAAAACTGGTCTTAAATTTTATAGATCTATTAGGATTCATTTGGTAAATTATATTTTTTCTGCAAAATTACACATTTTATTTACGTTTTCCATTTGTTTGCCTATAACTATATAAATAGTTAATAAATAACTAATAAATAAGTAACTATATAAAATAGTTTTAAATTATCTTTAAAAAATTTCCTTGGTTTTAATAGTTATTTCCCTTTGTCATTTTTCAGATTGTCTCAATAATATAGTAAGAGCATTCTAACCACTACAATATAACTAAAAACACAAAATAGTATTTATGAATTATTCTGAGCTGGCCAGAGGAACCAAGGTACTTCAAGGGCCATTATGCTTGTGATTCAGCTTCCTCCAAAATTAAATGAAGTATAATCCTGGATTCATTACACAGAAATGCTGAAAATTAACAAATAAAGTCAAAGAAATTTATAAATGTGAATGGTCACACAAACCCACCCACAGAATAAATCACCTGTATAATAACTAGGAGACTATGTCTGAAAAGTAGAATGGGGGCCACAATAAGGTGAGGTTGTGGTATATAGTCAATTTTCTATAAACCATGTGGAGACAGTCTTTTTTGGGTCATTTGTGGAAACTTTCAAATTCCTGGGATGAATTTCTACTGACACTAAACATATTCCTGGTTTTTTTGCTTCCCTTCTGCCTATTCTCAACTGTGAAAACACACATAGACGCACATACTCTTTTGACTTGGTATTGGCTCTAGGAATATAAATAAATACCTTGTAATGATTACCTTACTGAAGACAAGCAACAAGAAAAATGAAATAAATTCCAAAGTAAAATATAAATTAAGCTTGAGTAACCAGTTTTGCATTATTTACCCCACTGTCATTCTAGTGATAAGAACACTGGATGATGTACTTTACTTACGTTACTGCCTTTAAACCTTCCAACCCTTCAGGGAAGTAAATGTTATTACCCTATTCTCAGACGTAAACACTGAGGCTTAAAAGGCAAGTCCCTATCTGCCCGCCTTTGCCGTCCATGGTTTCCCTATTCTCTGCCCACCGATGTGGGCTACAGCCAACAGTCATGATTTGGGATTCAGAATGGCTGCCAAGTGATAACACTTGGCAGTTGTGCGGTGGCCATTTCCTGCTTTGGGAATAGTCCGCGGAGCTGAGGAAAAATGCAGCAGAACAGGGAGAAGCGCAGGGACACAAGGTCACTTCCGTTCCTACTAGTTCCTACCTAGAATCTGGCTTCCTCCCTTCCCTGGCTTGTTCTGAAACAACCCCGTATTTTATTATCAATTCCCCCTTCTTGCTCAAGTGAGTTCAAACTGGTTTCTGATAAAAGTAACCAAAAGAACCACGACTAAAGCTCCCCTTCCTTATATGGGTATGTGGCAGTTTTCAGTAGAAATTCTTGCGATAATTTTAGAGTTAGATCTCAAAACACTTTAGAGCTAGTAAAAGCTGCAGAGACCATCTTCTTCTCTCCCTTTACTTTGCAAATAGATAAACCAAATCCAGAGGAAATGCCATTCCAAAGGACATTTAGTTAGCTGGTGGCAAAGTGGGACCTGTTTTCCTTATTGCTTACTCACTTGGTGTCACTCTGGAGATTAAATTGATAACATTAACAATAATGTACCATGAGACAAATACTGACATTTTTGAATGAGGCAGAAATCCATTCACACCCTGATACAATTACCTAGTCATACCCTCTCAGTTGGTCCCAGGCTTATTAAAAGGATTCCATTTCAGAGGTTGGTGTTATGGCATGTAGGAAACATTTCCTGACAAAATAGTGGCATACATGGTGGTTATGGTTCAGGTTGGCCCTGGTAAAACTTAACCTAAAACACAACACTCTTTGGGAATTCTGAGGGAAAGCATACTCTGCAGTGCATATGAAAAGCTGAAGTGCCAGCCCTGGCCGGGTAGCTCAGTTGGTTAGAGCATCATCCCCATAAGCCAAGATTGTGGGTTTGATCCCTGGTCAGGGCACATGTGTAATCAATACTTTTTTTTTTTTTTAAAAAAACTGAAGTGCCAAGAAGTAGCTGGGTGGTGAGACAAGTTACTTAATCCTCTAAGCTCAGCTACTTCTTCTACAAAATGTAATTATTTAGACTCATGGAATTTCTGGTTTGACAAGAATCTTAAGGGTTTACATCTAATATCTAAGATACCTGTTATCATGAAAATTTCAAACATGCTGAAAAGCTGGTGTAATAAACACCCATATTTCCACCACCTAGATTCAATAATTGCTTTTTCCCACATTTGCTTTATGTCTTAATGTTTTAACCATTTGAAATTAAGTTGAAAATTTCATGACACTTGTAATATTTTAGCATATAGCTTCTATAAATAAGGACATATTCCTATAACAGGTGTTGGTAAACTTCTGTAAAGGGGCAGATAGTGAATGCTTTTGGCCATGTGCTGTGTCTGCTGCAACTCTCCACTCTGTAGTTGTCCAGGGAAACATGCATAGACAATATATAAAAAATGGGCAAGGTTATATTCCACTAAAACTTTAATTTTCAAAATTGGCATTTGTTCTGCAGACTGTAGGTTACTGACTTATGCTATATAACAACACTGGTATCACAATAAGGTTAACAAAAATTCCCCAATATTCTCTAACAACCAGTCCATATTCAAATTTTTGCAGTAGTCCCCAAATATCTATGTTGTAGCTGTTTTTTAACCAGGATCCAATCAAGATTCACAATCTGCATCTAAGACTTCTTTTGAGGGCCTGAAGATTCTATTCCTCTATGCATCCCTGACAGCTAAGCCCCTGGTGCCTAGGACACCACAGTTAGACAGGGTGGTACAGCTGGCACCTCTGAAAAGTGGGCTATACATTGGTATGCTTAAATCTTCAAACAACTTAAAAGAGGCCAAGGACCACTGTACTCCGTTGAAATTTATGCTTCTGCATGGATAATAGTAATATCTATTAACTGTCTATATACAAATATCAATATCTGCTCTCTATATTGTCAATATACTATACAAAGTCAACTGTGTATCAATAGCAACACCGACTTCATTAAAAAACAATGAATTCATTAATAAAAATTAGAGTAAGCTTATTCAAAGGAAGAATCTAGTACTTACCCAGAAACAGAACAATCAGCAGGACTATAATAGAAAGAAAAGCCTTGTTCCAAAAACTTGCAATTTTACCCCAGACATTAAATGAAAAAATCTTCTGCCATCTGTAAAGCAATACAATTACATTAGGTATAAAAATATCAAAAGAATGTTTTGAAATATTTTCTGAATACTGTATTGACATTTTGGTAATCATTTAGTAAGTAAAAAGAATAACAGAAATTTATTTTTATGTCATATCAGAGCATTATTAATTCATAAGAACATCTCATAAAATAAAGAACTTTTTTCAAATTTAATAACCTGACATTTGATTATCTTCTGTCTGGTAGCTTAAATATTGTACAGTGAAAATAACTTAAAGGCAAGACACATGATTAAAATCTCAAAAAGAAATTATTATAGTAAAATGTTATATTGCTGATAGAAGCTACCACTTTGTATCTTTTCCCTAATCAGGGTAATAACTTGGAAATAACAAATATTGGTCCAACAATTAGCAACATTTGAGGAGTGAGGGGTCCAACTCTCTAAACTATTTATTTTTTTAAACTATTTTTACAGAGTACAATTTAACACTATGCCAAGTAAAAGACTTTCCCTACTTTTACCAGGAATTTCAATAATCATTGAGGTATTACATACACATAGCAAAGTGCAAAAATTTTAAATATATGGCTTGATGAATCTATACACACATATATATGAATACACCCATGTAGTTACCACAATCAAGATTTAAACATAGAGGAAATAAAATGGGGTGATAAATAGTCTAGAATGGACGAATTAAAAGGTATAAACAAAGACATAGAGGTAAGAATGTATGGATTATAAATGACAAAGAGTGACAAAGTAACATTACACAATTGAAAAGGTAACAAACTTTGCACAAGGGCATTTGAAACGAATAACACATTTAATGATTCCAGCTGGCCCTGACTGGCCCTGATTGCTGGCCAGGCTGAGGGACCCCACTTGTGCCCGAATTCGTGCACCAGGCCTCTAGTATATATATAAATACATACATACAATATGTGTGTGTGTGTGTATAAAATAAACACCTAAGTAAAGATAAAACACAACTTTTAAAAAGTTTTACTTAAAGGTTATGACAAATTGTTAATTAATGAGTTTTGAAAACAACTCTAAGTAATAACTTGAAGTTGGTGGGGAGAAGAAGACTGATATAAGTTAAAGTGGTTTGCCGAAACCGGTTTGGCTCAGTGGATAGAGCGTCGGCCTGCGGACTGAAAGGTCCCAGGTTCAATTCCGGTCAAGGGCATGTACCTTGGTTGCGGGCACATCCCCAGTGGGGGATATGCAGGAGGCAGCTGATCGATGTTTCTCTCTCATCGATGTTTCTAACTCTCTATCTCTCTCCCTTCCTCTCTGTAAAAAATCAATAAAATTAAAAAAAAAATAAGTTAAAGTGTTTTTTGGGGTTTTTTTTGTCTTTGTGCTTTCAATTCCAAGGACTATTTAAATTTTACATGATAAAAACTTTATTTTTAGAAAATATAAAGTGGCAACACCTTGATCAAGGTCCAAATGTAAATTCACATTTCAAGGGCCAGTGTTAAAAGGAAACACACAAAACACCCCTACAGGGAACAACTAGCAGTTTATATTAACATCGAATTCAAGGAACAGTTAATAATAACTACCATATATTGAGTCCTTGCTATACTATGGTTCTAAGCATTTTTACATGTCTTAGCTAATTTTATCACCACAACCACTATATAAGGTGGATACCAGTATTACCTCCATTTTACAAATGGTGAAACTGACTAGGGATGGTAAATCACTTGCCCAAGATCATGGAATAACTTGCAGAGTTGGGATATAAACCCAAGCAGTCTGACCTTTGAGCATATGTCTAACTAGTTGGGTATGTGAGAAAAGAGTACAGAGCCAAATGAAATAAAGACTGAAGCCTTTGAAGATTATGGTGAGCCCTGGCCAGTGTGGCTCAGTTGGTTGGGCATCGTCTCATGCACCAAGCGGTTTGCCGGTTTGATTCCTGGTAAAGGCACATACAGGAGGCAGCCAATGATATGTCATTCTCACATTGCTGTTTCTCTCTCTATCTCTCTCTCTCCCTGCCACCCCCAAACCTCAATAATAATCTTTAAAAAGAGATTATGGTGTTACACATATAAAAGATAAAAAGATGGAGATACACACAATAAGGACATATTATAAACGACATGTGCACTAATATACCATATTTTCTCATGTATAAGAGGGTATATTTATGTAATGTGTGTATATATATATATACACACATCTATCAAATCGCTACTTGATCAGGATGGGAAAAAAATTATACTTGGAAGAAAAAGATCCATAATTTATGGCCATTTTGATGGAGAAAAGATAAACTGACAAAAATTCTTTTTTGCAAGTCCTTGTTAGTATTAGCAAAAAAGCTCAACAGGGTGTTATTGAGGATTAGAAACCAAATCAAGCCCGGCCTGCATGGCTCAGTGGTTGAGCATCGACCTATGACCCAGAAGGTCACAGTTCCATTCCCATCAGGGCACATGCCTGGGTTGCAGGCTCGATCCTCTAGGCAGGGCATGCAGGAGGCAGCCGATCAATGATTCTCTTTCATCATTGATGTTTCTCTCTCTCTCTCTCTCCTTTCCTCTCTGAAATCAATAAAACTTTATTAAAAACAGAAAGAAACCTAATCAGGATGATGACAGGTACGTAGGATGGAGCAGAAAGAGCACTAGACTGAAAGCTAGATTTTTGTCTGGAATCTTCCATGGATCAGCTAGACCACCTTCCTCACAGATAACTGGGTTGGATACAATTATCCCTAAGGCCTTTTCCTACAGTATGATTCAATCTCTTTTCTTTAGTAAGAAAGAAAAAAGTGATGGTATCACTGGCTAAAACTGGAGTAGAAAGCCAGGTAGGTAAGAAACAAGAGTTGTGAAAGGCTACCTGAACCCTGAGCCAAGGTAAAAACTTGCTTACGTCTCTCCCGGTCATGGGATCTTACTAAAAACTCCAGCGGGTCATCTCTAGGATTTCATTTATGCAAGATTTTCTTTTATGCCACGAGTACGAACAAAGGTGTTGTAACATTTTTATTACAAGTGTATTTCACCATTCATGCTAGCAAGTTTCTGGACCTAAAACTGAACTCCCAACAGATGGATTATCACAGGGTAAAGGGAGGCAATGCTTCATTTACAATAGTCAGTGCGTAAAAGCCTCCGAAGGTCCTTTCCTAAGGAACTAATGCTAACGAATGGCTCAGATACTTTTCATAACCAGCACTTTTAAAAAATATATATATATTTTATTGATTTTTTACAGAGAGGAAGGGAGAGGGATAGAGAGTTAGAAACATCAATGAGAGAGAAACATCGATCAGCTGCCTTCTGCACACTCCCTACTGGGGATGTGCCCGCAACCAAGGCACATGCCCTTGACCGGAATTGAACCTGGGACCTTTCAGTCCGAAGGCCGATATGCTCTATCCACTGTGCCAAACCGGTTAGGGCATAACCAGCACTTTCCACATACATTCATCAATTCTGTGTGTGGGGAAAAGTAGTGAAATTACAATTAAACATTACGGAAAACTATTTATGGGTTACTAAGCATCATGCATCGGCTGTCGTTTCTGCATTGTCATTTGGCTGCCCCAGTGAGACACTTTGCACCCATGTGAGACAGCTTTTACGCATCTGCCTTCCTTCAGTCCACTCTTCCAATTCGGGGCAATAAAACAAAGTGGAACTTGCTGACAGGACAGGTGGTAAAAGTACGACCTTTATTATATCTGAAATCAACAGAAACCAAAGGACTTGCCCCTCTCCTTTTAGAAGGGAGGTGGGACAGTTAATTCATTCGTAGGTTTAACAAAGAGTTTCATCGAGTGATGTTTTAATATTGCCATTCTATATTTATAATTTGTTCCTTTACTCTCAACCTGTGGGTCGCGACCCCTTCACAGTGCTCGCCTAAGGCCATCAGAAAACACATAATTACATGTTGTTTTTGTGATTAATCACTCTGCTTTAATTGTGTTCAATTTGTAACAATGAAATTGGGGGGCACCACAACATGAGGAACTGTATTAAAGGGTCGCGGCATTAGGAAGGTTGAGAACCACTGCTTTCGAGTTTATTTTGAAGTATACCTTTTATACAATCAGCACTCAAAACTTTTAAATCTTAAGAAAAAAAAAATGTTCCCGTATCACACTAAACAGCCTACGGGGGCTACACACGTATTTATTATTGTTACAAGGGAGAGGTTCCCCTACCTCTGGGGAGGAATGAAAGGTAGACAGAAGAGCAAAATGATTCCTATTTCAGCATAAAGAAAGGTTGCCACTGCCGTCCACTGGAGGGTCATTCTTCCTCTTCACACCTAAATAGAGGATCACTCATTTTACTGGCTGCCTTTCCACGAGAACAGGGTGCCCGGCCCCCAGGGCGCACGGTTCCGCCCAGGGAATGGAGGGTGCCGACCCTCCCCTACCCGGAGGCGGCCGGCGTTAGCCCGGGCG